TTTATGGAAGCCGAGATGTCGCCTTCCCCTGAGTAAGGGCAGTTTAGAAAATGTTGGCCCAAAAAACCGCACACTCCAATCGCTCAGTGGTTGACGGTGACCGCTGGTGCACTATTCAATACGGTCGAAATACTTTTAAAACCTAAGAGTCTGGTGCTGCTCAAAAGGAAACTGCTGTGCACAGCCTCATCAGGAGTGAGACAGTAGTGCCATACTTCCTGTGCCTTCGGGTTAGACCAACCCCCTGCAGCCGAGCAGATCAGACTATTGAGTCAACGGCTCCGAGAAGGGTTCCCGAAGTAAACCTTACTGTCCGCTGCCTCGCGGGCCAGACTTTTGAGTTAGACGCTTGGGACAGCGTCCCCGAGCAAAACCATACATCGTCTCACTGCCTTGTGGGTCGGACTTTTGAGTTGGAGGCTCAAGATGGGGTACCTCAACCAAAACTTGCCCGGCCTGGGCAAATTGTGTCCCTCGATGTCCCTCCCACCACACAAGCAAACGTTGCTGGGTCATTTCACTGTCACTTATCTGACCGAAGGACCTTTTGCCTTCCGCTGCCTATTAACAATAAACAAAATAACATCTTTCTAAATCCACGAGATCGTTTCAATATAGGTTTGAGCTGACCGGGCTTAGCGGCGCTATTAGGCGACGACTCTTCAATGAGTGGTGAACCCTGCAGGAGTATGCCGACGTCGGTCACATGTTGACCCAGATTTCGGTATACCCTTTCGAAATATGTTTACCCATTTACAGCTCGCTTTGCGCTTAACGTGTGACTTGCGGAAACTGTGGTTTGTGGTATTATTCAAATGAATGTGCCGCACAAAAGTTTCCTCTTGTTTCAGTTGGTTCGATATTCAGGATATCGCAACCTGTGTTCTTGAAGGAGCACTAGCATTAAAGTTGTAGGAAATTATTGATATGCTCAAGTAGAACATATGGTTATAAATGGAAGGATCACGTCCCAAAAATGACGAAGTTAGTGGTGTTGTGTCGAGTTTACAGCAACTTTGTGATTAACATGTTCTTCCCCAACCTAAAGCTGACAATTTGACTTGGTGGTCGGGATTGAGTAGTGCGATGACCGTGCGGATCATACTGGCTGGAACTCGGTTCCCAGAGGTTCAACCATGCCAGGAAAGCCATCGGGGACCAGTCCGACGATGAACAGCGAGTCACTATACTGTGATAGTCGTAATACGAGGCGGTTTGGCGGCAAAGTGTTGCTGTCCTCTGCGATAGGTGTGTGAACGTAGTAAGGCGTTTCCCTCAGGCGACCATGTTTATGGAAGCCGAGATGTCGCCTTCCCCTGAGTAAGGGCAGTTTAGAAAATGTTGGCCCAAAAAACCGCACACTCCAATCGCTCAGTGGTTGACGGTGACCGCTGGTGCACTATTCAATACGGTCGAAATACTTTTAAAACCTAAGAGTCTGGTGCTGCTCAAAAGGAAACTGCTGTGCACAGCCTCATCAGGAGTGAGACAGTAGTGCCATACTTCCTGTGCCTTCGGGTTAGACCAACCCCCTGCAGCCGAGCAGATCAGACTATTGAGTCAACGGCTCCGAGAAGGGTTCCCGAAGTAAACCTTACTGTCCGCTGCCTCGCGGGCCAGACTTTTGAGTTAGACGCTTGGGACAGCGTCCCCGAGCAAAACCATACATCGTCTCACTGCCTTGTGGGTCGGACTTTTGAGTTGGAGGCTCAAGATGGGGTACCTCAACCAAAACTTGCCCGGCCTGGGCAAATTGTGTCCCTCGATGTCCCTCCCACCACACAAGCAAACGTTGCTGGGTCATTTCACTGTCACTTATCTGACCGAAGGACCTTTTGCCTTCCGCTGCCTATTAACAATAAACAAAATAACATCTTTCTAAATCCACGAGATCGTTTCAATATAGGTGCTTTTAACGTCCGTACTGTATGTCAAATTGGCGAATAGGCAATGCTTGTTGAAACCTTGTGCCCCCTTAAAATTGATGTATGCCCTGTCTCCAAAACAAGCATACAAGATCCAGGCGTGGTCATGCATCTCAGAACGCCAAGGACGAACTCACGTCTTTCGCATTTCTCCCTCCATGTGTCCGGTGTTCCAGAAGTGATTACTCGTGGAATATATAGTGTGAAAATTGTGCTCAGCCCCAGAGTTGAACGCTCTTTTCTGGATTGAATTCCAGTCAACACTCGTCTTTGCGCCGTGCGGTTATCCAGCTCAATCAAGCTCAATGCCTCGGCTTAAACTGTGGTGCCTTTTTGTAGTCTTGGCTTATACCCCAATGGACTGCAGTTCTGACATGGATAAGGATACTTTCTATCGAGAGTTTTCCGGGCTCATTTGTCAAACAAGCACTTGATTCCAATCGCGCCGTGGTGCATACACATCTGACAGCTGTATCAGTCCCGGTGGTCTCGCGTAAGATGATATTTCCATCCGGATTGTGAACCTGCATCACTTGTGGCGTAGCTGTGACATCAGCTTATCTCTCAAGGATCGAGTTTACGATGCTGCGATGAGATCCTTATTGTTATACAGGTGAGAAATTTGGCCGCTGCGTGGCGAGGAGATCGAAATTATCAGTGTTTGACCATCGACTTTTTCGGGGCATTGCCCGAATAGATGGGAACACCGGATCAGCAATGCTGAAATACCTCGAATGGTATCTGGATGAACTGATCACACCCCACAGGTTGCGCTGGCGTGGCCATGTGCTCCGTACGCCAGTCAGCCGAATTCCCCAGAGGGTTTTTTTTTCAGAACCACGCCAAGGCTGGAAACCGACCAGGGGAGCTCGAAAAATGACTTGGCAGTGAAGTATGAAATATTATCATAAAACGCAGCTGCGCTGGCCATTTTCGTCTCGCTGGATGAGGACCCAGAGACGGGCCACATTGTCAGACACGGCCCAGTCGTGCCCTCAATGGCGCGTGTGCAACCAGGCTTTGTCTTCAGTGCATAGCTCCCCAACCCCCCACTTAACAGTACACAGACATCCTTGTATTTACGCACCAATTTATCAGCTCCCGCCTCCGATCCACAGCTGCCTACCCCACCTCCCCACATCATCGGTGGACGGAACTGTGGCAACTACAACCGCTGTACAAGTATGTGGTTCTTACCATTGTTAATAAGATCGAGGGTGTATGTTTTGCCATGTTCGGTTCTCATTGATTCAGATGACTATCATAAACCTGTTTACACATATATGTGCCCGATACTTTTGTTTCCGGCGGAAAGGCCACCACCCCGAATGAAAGCAACTTGAATGTTTTGACACGCTGACATCAATGGAATCCATATGCGTGTCCCTGAATTGAGTCTCCGTTGGTAACTTCATCGTGCCTCAAACTTCAATGCACATCGACGCAGTTGGCTTTGCTTGATGTCGTGTCACCCATGAAACCAGTTATCTGCTAGAAACTGCATGCCTTCCGTAGGTATGAATTAACGTAGACGCAGATCACTTTGAAACCTCGTCCATCTGGAACATACAGACGAAATCGTTCTCGTCTTTGACGAGGAGAGGAAGGCGCCGCTATTCTTGGATGAACTGACTAAAGTCACCCTGTCCTTTGGCATGCGCATTGCACCCACAAAGCGTAAGTTCATTTCCGTGGTCATGCAGTCACTGAGCACTCCACATACAATCAATGCAGAAGTCACTGAAAGTCGTGGAGCGTTTTACGTATTTTGGAAGTTGAATTAGTTCCGATTGTAGTGTGACAGATGTGGTCAATGCACGAGTGTGCAAGGCACGCGTCGCGTTTTCTGACTTGAAAGGCTTATGTCCTCAAAGCGGTATATCCCTGAATTGCAAGGGGCGTGTGTATAAGGTTACAGTACGGTATTTTTGGCTTTTCAAGCAGCGGAACTGAGACCTCTTCAGGCCTTCGACAGCTGTTGTCTCGTGTGGGTTGGTGTCAGCGAATCCGTGAGGAGACAGCAAGCGAGTGTTAGGTTGCTCAACGGGGACCTCCTTTGAAGAATGTGTCCAGCATCAGAAGCCGCATTGGTTAGGTCATGTACTGTACATACTTAATCATCGTTTGCTGAAGAGAGTGCTGTTTGTCGTGTCGCAAACAGCAGGGTGGGCAACCTTCGACCTGGCGAAGGGGTATGAAAGAGCTTACAAAAGGTCTAGGCACTGGCGATGCTACTTGCCTTCCAGGATCGGGCCCGTGTGATCTTCAGTGCGCCTGGTTGCAGACGCTGCGAGATATGGCTACTAACCGATGTTGATTGCGTTCTGGTTTACAGTATCCAGATTGCCTGAGTGAATCTTTGAAGATGTCGCCACCTCGAAATGATTGTGATAGTTTAGCAACAAAGTCTCTTTCCCGTCCACTTCGATTCTTCTTAACAAGGCTTTCAAATAACTCACGGTTGTACAGCTGCGAAGCATTATTTTTGAGTATTGGTGTTATTTTGTCGATGACGGTGATGCTGAGGCGCAGGTACGAGTAGTACCTTTTATTTGAACGCGGTAAGACCTTAGAACACAACATCTTGGGTATGCAAATAGATGATATTTCAACTAGACAATATTGTTAGCATTTCGATCCTGTTGTCCTGACGTCATTTACCTTCATAAATTTAGGTGCAACCCTTTTCTTGCTTGTTGTGCCAGCTGGGAACATACTACTGTCAAGCCCACGGAGCTTGTAGCTCTCTAGATGAGTGTCGAAGTAAAGAATCCGCTGTGTTACTCGAGCATGAATTACAATGCCGCGGCACTTAGATTGCATCAACTGGAATCGATAGTGCGCACATCGAAGTTCTAAGTGGGTCGGCAGATCCCTTTCGTATTTCTATATGTATTTCGAAAGTATAAACGCTACCTCCAGTCGGCCGACATTGAAGCCCCTCAATGGGCCTGAAATCCATGCTTTCGGAGAAGAAACTACTACCTCCATTTGCTCCGGTGGTCCTACTTGTACATGTTTTGCTCCTGGTTTAATTTTCATATGGTACTTTTGTTCCATCTTGAGGTCTACTCACAGACATGCTTCTGAGATATTCTAAACAACGCTGACTTTTTGCATCCTTTGCTTTTCTTCAGGTATGTCAACCACGGTGGTTTAGCACCGCATGGGTGCTTTTCAGTCCTTGCTTGAACCCCCTAACTGTCAGTATTCTCACACTTCCAAACCAACTCAGTGTCATTCTTGTGGAACGCTGTACAATCCTAACGAATCGGGGCCAGTTGACTCTCGATCGCTCCGGTTGTATACCCACCACTCTGCTATACTCTGTGGTATCCGCCTTGGGCGGTCTGATCAGCTGCAAAACGACCGCGATCTAGACCACAGATTGCAGAATGCAGCTACGCCACCAAGCTTTTCTAACCCATTATGTGGTGCGCGTGCAAACAATACACTACCCTCAACTGGTCTTCCAAAACGAACGGTCGCTGGGTCAAAACCGTACCAGGCTACCGATACTTTGTTCAGGCATACAGCATTCACAAAGAAAGAACGATGTGCTTTAAAACGCGGATTCTTTTCTACGGTGGATATATGCATACCTGATGCGGCCGAATCGTCCCAACTCGAGGGTTGTCATATACACGGATGTTTGTTTGTGGAGCATGGCAACCTTGTTTTCCAGGCCACAGACAACTCAACTGGGCTACCATACCTTCTCACATTAAATCTGCATCCATCAAGTAAGCCCTCGTTTGCCCTGATTTATTGGATAACTTTTGCTCAGTGTTTTGTCCTGATACTGTTTGTTCTGCCATTGATAGCTTCACATGTCCTCAACGTCGTTGAAATCAACACTAATATTCCACAGCCATGTAGTATGTCGATTCACTTTGTTGTTTGTAGAGGAGCCTAAAACAGGAAGGGGTAGACCTAGTGCTACTCTAGCACTAACCTTCGAACTACGTACAACTCGAATCTTGGGTCAGACGATTTGGTTAGAAACGGACTTTACAAACACGTTTACCTCTGTTTTCACCGTCCCTCCAAACGCCTCTAGCCATGCCCAGAGGGGATCACATGAGCTCCATTCTAGGGAATGGATGTATTCACACCTGAGTCGTATTAGCTCCATTTTCTGGAGTTATTTAGGGATCTTATCTTTCCGCATGCCCAAACTACTTGACCTAAGTTAGTCAGAGTGCTCATCAAGCAACAGTAATTCGATGAAGTGCCCACGCTACTTGAAGGAATGTGAGGTATGACCCTTGCATTAATAAAGTACATAATAGGTGGTTCCACTTGTTCAGATACACGGCTGCGTAACAGTATTCGATATATTCCACTCGAAAAAGAAATGCTCATAAACTCGTCTACAGTGAAACCCTGTAGACACTACCGGATTTTCTAGTGATAAAAGGCATTTCGGATTAAATGAGTATCCGAGTTGATTAATTTGGAAATTACCCTAATTTATTGCTCCTGTGACGTGCATCACCTGATTTTTTACTGACTTTACAGGTTATGCTGGAAATGAACACGAGCAGACACCATCCTAGATAGATTGATAGATCTTGTTACCTGGCGTGTTATGTCCCTTCATTTTTTAGCGTCAAGCCAATTAGATTTCCGGCTGTCACCCTTCTGGAGTTCACCTTTTTAAGAATTATGCAAGAAGAAAGATGGTCTGCATTCTTCATTGCGTTCGTTTTTGCCTGCCATTGTTTTACCATCCAACTATAGGAACAAAAAATATGAACGCCGGGCAGCTTCTTCAAGATCATTAGTTCAGAATGTTCCACATTTATCTGGTGCGATTGTTCAGTCATTTTTACGGGGTTTTCTTTTGCGACCCCGATTTCCATGTAGCTTGAGGGCTACGTGTTATCGAAATATACGCTGATTGTGCATCAGCTTTCACGGATCGAAGGTCTTTCGTGGACCATCAGAATCTGAATAGCAGAACCACAATTGCTTTATAAATGGAGCACAACCTTTAAAAGATCTGTTTTGGTTAATCGTTCTTTCCTTGAGCTCAAACTGTTAGGATAAGGAATCCATGTAGTGATTGAAGGTTGCGTATGCATCAAGTCCTTTCTATCTTTTTGTGTTTGGGTTCCCTTTTCCCAGTTTCTAACCCATGGTACTGACGCTCACTGCGCTTCAATTAATTCCGACGGTTCAGACAAGCATTCAATGACCGTGCATGTTTTTTGTAGATTTTATTCCATCTGGCGACCGAATAGCGACAGATCGTCAGAGTGACCTGACGGACCATGGTACGCATAACTGTTCGCGGTACAAGTATAAAAATGGCCGTTCTCAGTCGCGGCTCCATTTGCATCCATCGTCAATCTACCATCGCGCAAAGCGCCGGCTGGTGGCCTACTTACGTGACAATTATGGAGTCATGTCCAAAACACAGCTACATTGTGAATGTCAACAAAGATTATTCCCTAAAAGTGCCTACGTCTACACTGACCCAAACAAAAGGTACGTTGCATCTAGTCCCAAATGTATGCATTTATTGTAATCGCATACCGACTCGAAATTTTCCAATGGATACGACTTTTACATGCTCTTTCTCCCGTGATGATCAGAGATGGCTTAGTGTTTGGGGGGGGAATTTGCTACCGCAAGATTGGGCTTGGGCAACCTGGCGGTATCCCAGCCCCCGTGCCTCCCTCGAGTGGCATGGTGGTTAGGCACCGAAAGGGTGTTACAGCTACAGCTGAACGATAGTCATTCTCTGGGAGGACGAAATATTGCTTTTGTTTAGAAGTAGTTATTCTACGGGAGTGCTACTTTCCGCGAACTGAGGGTTTTCTTTTATTTTTCATGTAGTCTTGTATGTACTGGTTCTGTTTCCAAAAGCGGTGCGCTTTACATATCCTTGTCACTTCACTGTAGTTGTCCCCGCTCCCACTGAGCTTGCTAGTGGATTCGCGTGTGGTTGAACAACTGACACTAGAAGTACTGGTGTTGATAGCGTCTCAACCACCTCGTTCCCATGAGAGGTAGACTTCGGGAAGGACATACTCACATATTGTAGTCAGTTTAACGGCAACTGCAGAAAGTTGGTGAGAAAGGTTAAAAGCTACGCACTTTACAAATGGTGGTGTTCACGGCCATCGCCGTGCTTACGTTAAAGTTCGACTGCGTCCTACCTTAATGACCCTCGTTTTTAGATTCTCAACCAATTCGGGATGATTACAAAAGATTTCTTTGTGCACTTCCATTAACCTCATCCTGTTTCCCATCGATGCGGAAATCTCTTTTTGGTTCTGTCAGATATCCTCAGTTCTCATATATAGGCATCACACTTCGTGCCACCAAGTACTAATGCAGTGGACTCTGGACACGCGTGTTTTACACACATAGGATAGCATTATGGACAAATTGGTATGCTGCTTGTGAAGGAGAGCAATTGTAGATCATTTACTAATGACGACTGACCGCTCTAGAGGCGATGCACGATCTTAATTTGCACGCACAGTGTCTGCATGTAACAAGAAACTACCACATTGGTGTGGTAGTCATTTTGAGTGCTGCAACAGTCCCGCGGGCTGCACCGGCTGAAACTCAGTTCCATAAAGCACACCCGCCCCAGGCCCAATGAGAGCGACCAGAAGAGCAGCGAGATCCCTTAACACACGGCTGTTTGGGGGTAAAGTCGAACCCGCTTCTGCGGTTGCATTATGAATGCAGTAGGATGTTTCCTCCAGGTGACCAGCATGTCCAAATTCATGAATTTGGTGGTGTTGCCGTGTCACGAGGAAAGACGTGTTGGAGAAAGTCGACCGCATACTCTGATCACACAACGGAATGCCCGTAACTTATACACTATGGGGCAATTAAAATCTACCCAGCTCCATGCTGCTTCAAGCGCGTCTACCTTGTGCAAGAGTGAGATAGCTATGCTCTATTCCCTGTGCTCTTGTGTTGGGTCAGTTCCTGCAACCGAGCAGTTGGGGCGATCGATTCTTTGTCTGCGGGTCCGCCCAGGAATCTGTACTACCCGCTGCCTTGAGGGTCAGAAGTTTGAGTTAGAGCTCAACGTTGGACACTTCAAACCTCGTATTCCGTCTGGACAACCGAGAAGTATCTTTCATCCTTGAAGCTTTTCGTCCACTACCCATCAGATCATGTACTGTGGGCGAGACGGCTCAGTGATGAGCGTGAATTTGCTGACCGGAAGGCCCGCGGTTCGAACCCGACTTTGCTACTCGAGTTCCCTTTTCTAGGCTCGGGCAACCTGGCAGTACCCCAGCCCCCGTGCCTCCTTCTGATGGCATGGCAGTTGGGCATCGAAAGGGTGTTACAGCTGAACAGAATTTTTACAATTTTTTTCAGCCCCCTAACCACTAATGTGTGTCTAAACCGTTGCTGTCTCTAAATTCAAAAGATATGATCCAAGTTGCGACTTTTTGGCGTCAACGCCCCGTCAGGTTGGATAACAGACATCTTTCGCTAAAACTTCGCTCTCTATTTCTTTCAGTGTTTATTTCGTTTTCGGAAACACGCAAGTCTCTACTTTCAAGCGCTCAAGGAGTTTAGGTTGAATTCACATGTTTCGCTTTTCGTATGTCTGGTGATCCATTGACTCGTAGTATATATGTTGTAGGAGTTGTAATCAGCTCCTGGGCTGAAAGCGCTCTATTGGACCGGATTCTGGTAAACTGTCATCTTTGAGCTGTACTGTTTTCCGGCTCACTCGAGATCAACGCATGTAGATATGGTAAACGATGCCTATTTTAGCGTCAGCATACGCCAACGACTACCCTTCCGAGGCTCAGGAAGATAAACTTTATTTACTACTTCAGTCAGCCAGGTTGGTTTGCTGATGTGTGTATTTCACCAATCATGTGGTTGTGAGTACAGATGAAAATCCACAATTGCAAATTGTCGTCCTTTTCAAGGTACACATCTTGACTTCCCTTGTGTCATTGTGCGAGCTCGCTTGTCAGTTCGCTTTCTCCCAGGATTACGCATGCTGAAGCAAAACAATTCCGTTGGCCAACTTCAACGAGTTTCAATGACTCAGCAGAGTCGAGCTGATCTGGCTGGAAACGCACAGTCACGCTAGGGACGGAGACTGGTTGGGGGATAAATGGAAGCGAGGAAGGGAAACCATGATCTCAACTCTTAGGATTATCTGTCCGACCCTTCCGACTTGTCCAAGTGAACACTGGATATCAAGATGAGTAGTCCTTAGTGCTGCTACACTGGTAACTGGTGACCAAAATGGAACATGCGGATCCCTCAAGAGCCTGAAGAATGATATAGCAGGTTAGTGGATTGCGAAGGCCAAGGAGATGGGGAAGATATTTTCTGCAAGCGGAAGACGTGTCCTATTTCAGCTCATCTGATCAACTGGCCGAAAAAAACCTGGTGTCAACAGAGGGATTTGCCAGAGAGATAGAGAGACAGCACATTCCTAGAATCGTTATCTTGAGCAATGGGTTGAACATCTCCAAAATAATCCCTGTTGACTTCCTTCAACACAACCTCTTGAAGGGCTCAACAAGCCTGAATGGAACGTTGACATCACCCCGTCATCGCCAAAAAATCAAGCACGAAATTCTGTTCTTCCAATAAGGCGTCTGAGCCGGTCTGCACACTGCACTTTTTAAAGAAGCCCTGACGAACGGTCTGACAAACCTAATGCTGAAGGTTTGGAACGAAGGTAGAATACCAGTGGAATAGAGACACCGTCCGTATTGTCAATTCTTGGAAAAGATTCGATAACTTCATGTGAGAACCACTGTGGCGTCAGTATGGTAGCTCTGTCACCAAAAGTGCTGTCTGATATTATTTTGCGTAGTTGGGTCGATTTTCTGGCAGGGCATAGTCGTGAGAATCATACTTAAACACCCTCGTCTGCGATAGGTGTGTGGATCCAGCAAGTTTTTTTTCAGTCGACCAATATTTCCATTTCTTTAAAGTAATGATCTAACATACTGCTGGTTTAAATACTACTCGTTGGCCTTATACAGTTGTACAGGCCAAAGCAGACATAGCAGGGTTCGTTTAAACAGTGCATTTGGAAGACAAATGACAAGTTATGAAAACTTCTCTCTCTTCCTTCAAAAATTCCGGCCTGAAAAACCGCCCACCCTAGCTGCCAAACTGCTCTTCTGTCAGTTGGCGCATTATTTAATGCTACCGAATGATTTTTTACATTAAGCGTCTAGTGCTACTAAAAGGAGTATCGGCTGGGGGGAGCAACACTAGATGTCCCTTCTCTGTCAAGCGGGTCGGAGTTGTATATCATTGGCTTCAGGTGAAAATATGCCAAGGAAACTCACAACACCCGTGGCTCCGCTCCGGTCGCTCAAGCCAGGCCCCTTCTGTGACATAAATGGCCAGGAGGTATCGAAGGTGATTATTGGTTGGATAACTGTGGCGAACTCAGTTTTCTCTCCTCCTATGTTCATATATCTCCCTGGGCTCTTTTCTGATACATAAACAACCTGTACACATTGGTGCCCCTAATGTTCGCACGCTCAAACAGATTGGTCATCAGAGTGCTTTGGTGAACTGCCACTCAAGTTTAAAGTCTTACTTGACTTTCTTCAGAAAATCATATATGTAGTTCCAGTACTGTTATTCTTGTGAATGCACTTGTAAATACTACTTCGGATCAGCTTCATCCATCTGAGATCCTCTGGTGATTACAGTGCTAAAGAACATGGATAGACTGAAGTTGGAATTTATCCAATAGGTCATTATCATCATCATCATCATCAAAGACAGCAACATCAGTGTTGACACTGATGCTTCACTGCCGTATCAGCTTATGCCCTAAGGGGAGTACTTTAGGATCTGATGAAAATGGTTTTTGGTGATGCGTTCTCAGATATCCAATGCCAAAAAAATGCGGACATTGTGATTCTGGTTGGAAACACGAGCGCCCAACTTGGTGGATGGGAGATTGGATGTCGTGACTGGCGCATGTGTGTGGTGCGCATGACGGTCTATACTTATCGAGCGTGACGTTTCAAACTAGACTGCTTTGTTTCACCCGAGGCCATCCTGTGAACCACTCATGTACACGAATAGATGACGGCGCAGTTAGCCACCGGTGACGACGAAGTAACCATGAATGTCCTTTGTTTCTGAGCAGTCATGTAGATTCAGATCACTTTCGCACATAAGTATCCTTTTTCAAAAGAAAATCTCTTCACGACTGCCGCAGATTGACCTCGCATCCTTTCAGTAAATCACTGATGAAGGCATTCGTGGCAGCAACAGTCGGAATTTGAAATTTCAAAAGAAATTTTTAAGACAATGTTGACTGCTTGCAAAATAGCAAGCGAAGTGAAACTCCCGGTCTCTGCAAGGATAGACCTTTTCGGAAACCGTATTTTCAGTAGAGGGACATTTATCCACCTCATCCGATTCACTAAACGATGAAGGACACAATGGGATGAATCGTGAACAGAAAACTAATCACAGATGGAACTTGATATATTCTGCAAGTCATGCCTGTACCAACTTTCTAGGCTCTTAAATCTCTCTTGAGTCTTGCGACTCATCGGGTTTTCCTTCGCCACTGCAATCGTCACACTACTTATTTAGCGCTGATGGTATGGGTATCAGAACTGAGCCGTATCAAAACCACTGTTCGCTCTTAACTGTTTGTTAACCCTTCGTGCGCCTGTGAATAGTTCTGCGTTCAAACGTAACGAATTTAAAGTCGCATTTGTTCGGTTTGTCCATCCAACCAATGATGACAGTTCAAGGTTCGGTTGGGTCAGCCGGGACGGAAAGGACTGCGTTGTAAATAAGTCAACTCATTTTTGCGTGAAACTTGCTAGCAATCGTTAAGTGGTCGCTGCAAAATGGTCGTAAACGGATGATGTTCGGATAGCAATATGTCACAATTCCCATGTTGATATCATGTCCATCTGCCCATTTAAGCCATCAAGTTTCGATACAGTTTTTGTCATATCTGGTAATTTTGGACGACACAAACTGCCTATAATTTGGACTTTAACATAAACCTGTTTTCATTGAGCGTGCGGTCATGCTGGGTGATTTTTTACAAAAGTGGTTCAATGGCAAGAATCAGGGAGTGAAAGAAACCCTTCTATGAAGTAACAAGTTCTCTTCAACGAGGAAACACCACATAACCAGTGCATCAGTTACCCAGAGCTGTTCACACTCCCGGATGATACATTCCTCATCGGTTACTCTAATCAACATAACGTTGGCCGTGCTCAGAAGTACGTGACAGAACTATTGTCTGCAATAACTGAAAGACTAGGGTTGTTTCCGAGGATCATTGGCATACTGGCTTTGTCTCCAATCTAACTGTGGGATTTTCATAAATGCGAAGATTCGCCACTACTGCCGCTCTCGGATCCTATGTCCCATGAATCGGACACGTGCACACCAGAAGTCTACAGTCAGTTGCTTATACCTCGGAAAAATATATGTTTATTTGCATTCTGTTATTCCTTTGTCGATCGTTTCTGGTGGCTTATATTGCCCGTGTGCATGCTTTTTGGTGCTTATCAGCGGAGCTCAGACATTGTCGTTGATAGGAACACAAGCGCTGAACAGCATCGTTGTCCCATCATGCAGTCGTGTCAATATTTTGGGATGTTCCCGTAGTTAAAGTGAAAAAGTGGGAAGTGAAGTTGGTCCAGTGCCGATCAACTACAAACCCGAAGTTCTTCTGCTTAAGCTATTCCCCCAGACCATCTGGATAACAAATCATGGACCCCAGTGATATGTCCAAGGGGCTACGTCGTGCCTCGTTACTTGCAGGTACAGCATATAATAAAGAAGCAATCCGTCGGGTTTTGTGAGTTTTGAAGTAATTGATAGCTCAGTCCGACGTTGGGCTCAGACTACTGTTGGTCTGCTGGAGAGTGTCATGCATTTCCTTGTTACCTGTAAACACAGCAGCCATGATACTATTGAGTTCATCAAGCCGCTGGAAAAGAAAACTGGTCTTTGAATACACGTACACCTCAAACTAAACTTTAGGATGGAAGTGGTGGGAGATTGAATTTATCGTATAAAAGATCACAAATTATCAGAAAAGGGAATCTGTTAAGTAAGCATTTCTTAGCATGACAAAGTTTGTCGTGTGAGTACAACAAAGTGATTACCTCCCCTCTGACTACTCCGCCTCTAATTCGGACTATCCTTATCTACATACTATGACCATTTGTCAGGTATGACCGATTTCATATGACGGACGTTCCTTCAGCTGTGCTCTTCAAATCAGCAAAATGGCGGACCATGGTTTGCACGTTTTCCAAATCACACCTAGAATGCTAATAACGCCAGAATGCCAATTCTGTACTGGTTTCACATTCATTAGTGGTTCTACTGTTTAGTTACTAAAACCGCATTTCAATACTCCTATTTCAGACCCTGTGAACATCAACCAAACCTCATCCATGGCCATAGTACAGGTTCAGACTCTGTTTCGGTCGATTTTCAGCACGACTCATTACATTTTCCTCCACCCCCGCTTCGTCTGTGTTGGCCACTGTTCACGCTGCGACGCTTCGGATTCTATGGAGATAGTTTATTCAAGCTTGAGGCAGGTCGACGTGCTCCTCGTGGTGAAGGACATTATTTATTTATTATCAAAGGACTAACCGAATTCAGACGGTATTTTGAGGTACGTGTTTCACGTGTGTGCCAATTTCTGACGGCTCAAAAACTTGCTTGCGAAAAATAAGTACATCTTAGAATAATTTGTCAGCATCGCTTACAGACGAACTTATTATTCACGTTTAGACGAGCACGAATTCTTCGTGCTCAGTATGTACAAAACGGTACGTACGTATACCGCCTGCGAATTTAAACCCGCCTATGTGAATTAGTGCAGCGCGAGCTTGAACTGCACAGAACCTACACATTTTCTCTTAGTTTTAACTGAGGTTTGTCACAAGACTCCATCCACAATCCATTTGCTCTGAATATCGGTTTTCAAGCGCCGGTTACGGGACACTCATACCGGACATGTTGCATTACAAATTTTCCATCTGCAGGCCCGCTGGTCGATCGATTCAGTAGTGTGATCCGTACGTCCTCTGCGTGTATGTGTATTTACCCGCCTACAACGGTATGCGTCAGCACACAAACACATTCAGCTGCTTGCTGCACAAAGCACAGCTCCTGTTGATGGGCGAAACTGACACACTGGGTCAACCAGGCCGGGTAAACCAAATTACGCTTACCACTGCGCGTCTGCATACCTCGGTTACAAGCAGATATTTATGGGAGAGACAGAGACAAAAATCAGGCGTGCACCGTGGTTGCTTGCTTATTTTTAACGTATGTCACGTGCCCTCATTTCAGATAACTAGCATTTGTGGTGGTGAAGGTGCCGTTAAAAAGGTTTTTCGAACCTCACCACACATGGCTCAATAGACGGGTTTTCGATTTCAGCTAGTTCTGAGTGGATCCGATTCCTGGACCTGTTTCGTCTTGTAGTTATATTTGCGGCTACTGTAGCTGATAGTCCTGAGTATTCACCATTTTAAGTGCATGCATCTTATTCGCCGGTGATTCTTGTGGGTCGCCCACATTGGTTACCTTATATTTCAATTCCAAGCATACGTCACTTCCTAGCAGGCGGAGGCACCCAGGCTGAGAAAACAAGTGGTGGTATAGCATTTTTTCTTGTTCCCCTTAAGAAGGTGGGTCTCTCAGAACTGAGAAGACTCCTCCTAATTCCCTTTTTGGCTGATTTACTCCTCAACAGAAAAAGTCACATCGGGAGTGCTTTATTTCATTGGTGCAGATCCACTCATTGACCGTTTCGTTGGACGCCCGATGTTACGGGCGTTGCTGATGCACCGCGTCGCTATATCAACGGGCTCTTCTTGGATGGGGACATTTTCTTTGCCCTAGGTTTGTTTACCTGCATAGGACTATTTACTGAAACATGTCGCACTAAGTTTATAGTGAAGAAGGACAAATGAATGCAAAATGATTCGATAATTGTTGAGTCCTCACCAGTTGTCATTACCTTCTTCGTTGCATCAGGGTATTCTTATGTAATAAGCAATCTTTTATTTTTTCGAATCTGACAAGTTGGTACGGAGGTTCCTCATTTCTAAGTACCTGGGTAGCAGGGACTTTTACTCTTGTACGGGTGTTCAGTAAGCTGCACGTCTATTTAAAACTGCTGGATATCGGCTGCATTCGTCACAGATAAAAGACAATCGCTATCTTCAGCCTTCAATACAGTCAAAATCTCAATACAGAGGAGCAGTAGTCTTATAGTGTCCAAATCTCATGCGAAGAATCACCTTCGTCGGGGGCGCATTATTCCTACAAGTTATCCCTTCGAAGTTAGTTATTTTGGTGCTTTCTGATGGTTGCTTTGACTATCTACTTCGAAGCACAAATTCCAAACTGTTTCGAAAATTTAGCTAAATCTCACCCGGGTTTATTTGCGTTGGTACGCCGAATCTGATTGTCCGTCTGTTTTCTGAGCTGGACAGTTTGGTTTGTGATGATGTCACTGTCACCAAGACAGAGCAGGTGGACCGGGTCTTCAACTGAGTAACTATATAGCTATTTAAATTGAACTATGTTAGTGAGGTGTCAGCAGCGTGTGGTCAGTGTTAACCGTTGGTATTTGCACGATTCCTTGGTATTCTCGTCGTGTGTGGTGGGCTAATTTCGTTCACACGACCACAGTTACACACCACGTATTTGTCGCTCATGAATGCTCTCGGTGTCGGTTTTGCAGCTGGACTGATTGGTCGTTGACTACGTGACCTCTGAGCTCGTCCTCCCCTGCTTTCGTATTCTGGTCTGTGCTGGAGTGATCTCTGAACTTCATCTCTCTGTTTCAGTTTGTGACCCTTGCTGATCTGACTCCAAGGAATTTATTGACTTTTAGTTTGTTAATTCGACAGCCGGCACTCTGGGCATTCCGTTTGGAGATATTGTCCCTTGTACGTATTAATGCGTCATTTGGATCTAGTTCAGTGCTTCGGTTGATCGAATTCTTCGTGGAGTATCATGCTCCCATGCTTCCCTTCTGTGTGTCGTATCTCCCTATACCAGGAGATTTACGTTCCCTAGATTATGACCTTCTTGATCCTTGGACATGGATACCAAGGATAGGGGTCATGTGTCCTGACGGCCGCAGCTGTATTTGGGTAGAATCTATGATTGGTAGTGTTCATAATTGCGCTTGCTTGCCAACGTGTATCAATTTTTTTGTTGGAAAAACTTCCAACTGCTCCCACCTATCTTTGTACTGAAATTTTGATGTGTCCTTTGCTGGTAAAAACTTTTCCGTGGAGCATGTTTGCCAGCGTGCGTCCTACTATCTTACTGTCTGATAAAGTCTGCACGCGAATCTCAAAGACCAGAATCACATTTAGTAATTTGCGTCACTTTTAGCGTCAAAACGATGTATCACTGGGTCTCAAAGGTCTCTTGTACCGGGCTACAGTAAGGGCTGTGTTGCTGTATGGTTGCGAGACATTGCCTCTGCTGAAAGATGATATCGGGCGTCCTGAGGTTTTCAACCACCGATCTCCCATAAGCGCTGCTTTTGTCGGATAGTGCCAACGACTTTTGAGCGAGTTAATTAGAAAACGTGTACATGGTTGTGCAGTAGTCATTTCAGTCGTCAGAAACATCCAGCAATAGCAGCTGCTACGCGCGCCGAAACACTGTCCACCGAGACGACTGTTCTCTGTGTTTCCCTCAGGATGGCGCAAACTGTGAGTTAGGTAACTAAACTTATAAGAATGGTGTGAAAGAGATTGCGGAGTTTTTGGGTGTTGTTGATGCGGTCCACCTTCCAGGATTGGGTCCTCGTGATCGGTCCCCTGTGCGTGGCTAGAGATGTTGCAGGAAATGGCGGCTGATCGATGTCAGTGGCTTTCATGCTGTCAATTTCTTTCCAGATCGTTTAAAACCTTGACGGTGTAGACACTCCAGAATTCTTGCGATAGGGTAACACAAGGTCCCCTCCGTCGCCCACTCTTTTCTCTTGTTTTCACTTCAAAGCTTTAAATATGATTAGATGAACTATTTGGTTGTACGGCAGTGTAGCATCACTGTCAACAATTATGGTACTCTCTGATTGATGCTCTTAGAGTCGAAACTCACAGACAAGTTAACAGTATGTCTGGCCGCATTCTTCACTCGTGCGCTTCATCTTTGCACAAGATTTCATACAGAGCCTTCCTCTGTGTAGGACGCGTTCATGCACCAACGAGGCTAGAAGGATAACAGGATAATAAATGAAATAAGTGAGGAGGTAAACGACGGGAAATGTTAGTAATATCAAGAAACCTTGGTTTAAATGGACAGACTCTGCAGGTGTTGAAATGACCAGGATAGGTCATGCTACAATTTTTCGCAACTAGGATTTGTTGACCTAAGTCTCACTTGATAGTGGCCATTTAGTTCTTGGCGAGCAATGGGTGCACACGTGTGTACTATTTTTTTTAACTTAGAGACTTTTTACATAGCAGCTTGTATCTTCGTCTCCCTGCTGAGTCTCCCAGGTCGGAAGTTTTTCCCCTCACCCCACAGAAGTCACTGAAACACGCTCGAATGGGTGTAGGGTGTACAACACAACAGTTTTTCTGTTTGATGTTTTACTGGTCGTCTCTGAAACCAAGATTTTGCTCATAGTTGCTGATCTCTTCGCTAAGTCTGGCATTGGTCTGCTACGTCACCAATTGAGGGAGCATCGTCACTTCCACTGATGTCCTCTGGATTGCAAGCCAGTTGCCAAGGTCGGCAACCAATAAACACGTGTGAGCTACCAGTATTCGGGCAAGTGATTTCAATGAATGCAGATCCAGAGACCTGGGAAATATTCACACTTGAAGAAGTGTTCATGTCAGGCGTGGAGCCCTTGCTGATATGTCTTACCATTCGATCCTTCAACAGCTACGACGAAAAGTACGGAACTGATCATGTGGTCTTTCGAAGGCTATTTCCATTCGCTTGTAAGTGGAGAATGACACCCTTGTCGAATAGCTAGAAATCGATTGCTATGTTGAGCCGCTTAGTTAATTCAGATTCCACCATTTTTTTCCGCTTCAGCTCAGTTCTACAGTAAAAACCAAAATATCAAACTGATATACCAAGATATGGAATATTTGATTTCGTAGGACTGTTTTGCCATACTCTGGAACTTGCTGTGTAAGGTCTTCGGATCCGTTTAACACGTACACTGGTGCCATTTGAGACAAATTCGAAACCTTACTTTGAGTTCCTATTTAACTGATGAGATGCACCAATCGGGGAGCTTCGGCTGGACGTTCAAAGTCAATATAGGGAATGACGCGAACTTTGGGTATACGACCGGAAGGGCTTTTTAATTTGGAATCACGAGTCTGTCAAGGTCGCGGATTGCCTGGCAAAAGGACTAAAGTAGCGTTCCAGTTCCGGGATCACCCAGCTAGTGTACATATTGAATTCACCTTCTGAGAGCAAATTTTTAGCTCAAATAATTCGCAAATCTCTACTGTCATTCCCACCCACTCTGTTATTCCTACGATTCTCCTTAAACACGTCTTCAATTTTTACCTTCAGCAATACGTTCACCGAAGAAAAAGTCTTTCTTCTATGGTACCTGACCACTCAATGTTCCAAAAACAGTGGGAATCAATCAGAGATTCTAATCTGAATGGTCTGAAACCGTCTTCACGCCTCTGTCAAAGCGATCTTCAGGTTAGCCTCCTGGCATCGACGATGTCGCCCTCAGCTTCTGCTCAGACTCACATGCTCACTGGAAAAAAGCCCACCGTGGACACCGTAACTGGAATGCAGGTTTTAAACCTTGGTGATAATAATCAAGCGAAGAAGAAGACTTGTTCCCTGTCCTCACCGCCTGTTAGGCAATATTCCGTCTCACCAACTTGTTTGCATTGGGTACATCAGCAACAAACTCACGCACAGTCTCGAAGTGTCAGTTTTCAGAACTCATGTCCACAACTGACCGCCACTTCTCCGTTGCACGGTGCCTCACAGTCGTCACATCATGTCCGTGGAGAGGATTCGGAAAGCGATGAAATATCTACCCTCCCAGATCCACCACCACCTCCTTTTACTGACAGTGTTGATGAACAAGCGGCTTCCACACCAGTGTACAAACATCGCCACCACCACTCTCATCCAATTTACGACAATATCAATGTAAACTGGTTACGGTCCACCCCTGTTCACTCTTCGACCGTAACAAGGCGTTTCACAACGGACTTTCCTCTCTTTGGGGGCACTGACTGCTCGGGTGCAGTCATGCCTTTTTCCTTGTCCCAACATGCGGGTCGCCAATACACTTCTCGCCGAGCCATGACGGCCTTGGGTTGTACTAGCCGCTATCCAAGTTCGCTTAGGCGATGCGCAGAAGAGGACGAAGATGGGGTAGTCTGTCCACCCACGACCAGCCAATCTGGATGTCACCGCATCCACGGACATCAGTCGCCTCCGCTTGTTGGGCAGTGCAGGACATCTGGTACCAGACGTAGAAATGAAAAGGTCAAAATGAATCCATTTCGTCATGCAAGTCTTCCAAGCCCGTTGTCTTTATTTGATGTTCATTCCACGGTGGTCCCCGAACAGGTCGCTACACGATCCTCTCAAGTTGCCTACTTTCATAATTCACCAGATGATTCAAGTTTTCCGTGTGTTTCGGCTGCTGATAATGGCGATGAGGTGGTGGCAGCACGATATTACAACCTCAACAGTTCAGAGGTACGATCTTTTGTTTCCGTGTCAAAGTTATTTCGTTTCAGCATATTTATGATTCTTGTATTTTGCTATTGTTAGAGACAGTTTACTGTAATATTTAGGCCTCGTGATTAACATTTTCCTACACATAGTTGTTCAACTGTAACACCCTTTCGGTGCCTAGGTGCCATGCCATCCGAAGGAAGCACGGGGCCTGAGATACTGCCAAGTTGCTCAAATCTAGACAACAGCAATCGGGATGCCTAGGTCGATTCTGAACTGCGAGACTCCCGGCCAGTAAGCTCGCGCCTTAACCCCTGAGCTATCTCGGGCACGTTGGGCGATAAACGTTTGCTTTCGTCTGCATTCCTTTCATTTCCTGGGTGGACTACTTACATGGAGGTGCAAATATTTGACGGTTACAAAGAACGTCATGTATTTTTCGTGAACACTGCCGTGCATCATACTTGCGAAGATGGTCCGTTTTCTAAGAAATAGACATGCAGGGTTTTCCCTCGTAACAAATGCAATTTTACGTGCTCCTATATATGTCTTTTGAATGTGTGCACTGTTAACAGAAATTGATCTTTCTAAACAGAAAACTTAGTAAACCAACACCTCATCGTTCTTATATTTTAAATGACGCTTAAGCATAGTGCAACGTTCCTCAAATTTTTTGAAATGGTCATCCTGCATTATCTCAATGTTGCTGAATAGTACTGAAGCCTTGATCACACATTAAGAATCTTAACTAGGCGGCTATCCTGTGCGGAACAAAACACGGAGGCACGTTCTCGCTGGGCTAAGCGATAGCCAGTTGTGAAACCGAAACAGAGTATTTAGCTGTTGAACTGGTATCTCGTTAATCCATACTCGCAACAGCAATAAATGTACGCTGATGTGGATGGAACGCCGGTAGCCCTGTTGGAGCCCAACTTTAAGTCTATATTATACTTTCCCGACGCTTTGCACGACCGCTCCAGGTGTCCTCCCCTAAAATTTCTTGGGTAAAATGGGCGCGATGAGGGAAGGAACGTGTCATTGTCCCATGTCGTCTTCTTTAGTCCGCTTCTCAAAATTGCGTTTTGTTTTTGGGGACGACCGCATGCGAACTCCATAGGAACATTCGGCTTATGGACTGTTAATTTTATACCAAATTACAGAACGCAAAAACCTGTGCATGTTTTTTATGCTTCACCTGCTTCTCAACTTCATAAGCCACCGTTTGAATATATCTACCAAGCCTGACAGTGAGATTTCAGATTTTTGGAAGTGCAGTTTAAGTGCTGGTGTCTTTGAGAAGGGAAAAACTGAGCTCCTGAACTGCAAGCCCTCCAAGGTTGCATATCGTTTCTGCGGCTTAAGCTCGTTCTACCATAAATACCTCTTACCAACTTGAGAAAGTATGAACAATGAGCAGGAACATTTATCCTACCGTTGATCTAGCCGCATTCAGTGACCTTCCAATCTGCAGCAAAGAAAACACCGAGGTTAGGATAGCACTACAAACTGCCTGAATTTACGGGCACATTCTTCGGCGCTCGCTTAAACGAAGGGTCAATAGACATGCTTTCGAGTGATAGATTTCATTCTGCTGATCGCAAGCTGTTCTTCGCAAAACTGTTTCAGCACCTGATCCCAATTTTTAAATGGCTTGAAAACACGGCCTTCCAAAAGTGCGGCATCTTTAAACGGGAAACAATCATTGTCATTCGCCCACTGATTCCGAAAATAATAAATAGCCTCCTTTAGTACAGTATCATTCATAATTTCTGTAGCTGTTGCTTGAACAGAGGTAGGGAGATGCTGAACAGATTCGGGAGAATTGATGTAATTCCGCTGTCGGTTAAAACTGATGCAGTACTGTTGATGTTTTGTTGAGATATTACGTACGATAATGCATCGGTAAGCAAACGGATGATGTTGGTCTGTAAGTTATGCTATATAGAGAGGCATAGTAGCTCTGCAATGGGTGCGACTGGCAAGGTGGACGGAAATGGCTTTTGATGACCGTCCGGATAGAGTCCCAGTCACTAGGAGGGCAGATCAATACCCAGCTGGTCAACGTCCGCCATCTGGTGTGCCAGTTTATACCCGATTCCTGGTTTTGTTTGTTTCAGGTGTTGCATCACTGTAAGAAGACACGCAGTCTTACGCGTACAGGTTCTGCTGGTATGGAATGTGGTGCGAAAAGTGCAATCAGAACACGAAGTGGTGTCCGGTTGTCTGCTTCGTCAGTGTCTTGGAATTCTGCGCTCAAGGTTAGTGGGGGTCGAGTCGAGGCTGCTGATGCATCATCACTCGGCCGGACAACAACTGGTCACGAGAGTTTGATGCCAGAAGGTCTTTTATCTGATGCTTCACCGTCAGAATCCATGATTTCACCACGCCCTTTGACAACAAATCGATCACACAGTCTTTTGCAAACAGTTGAACCTCGACAAAGTACGTCAAACATTTTACACTACGCCACTCTTGATTTTGGTCATCCTTCCCTCACCGCCGCAGAACCCCTTGTTTCTACAACCACCTGTATTCGAGAAACCCATTCACATGAGTCCTGCGTTGTGGCTAATTGTCCGGTGCACGCATATGGAACATTGGTGCCGGGTACACTCGAGAACATTGGTCGAGTTGGCCATGAAGCCCCTGTTGAGGCGCCAGTTACCCAGGATGCTGCTGTAGTTCAGCAAGATGCCGCCGAACTACCGACAAACTACGTGGCCATTTGTCAACTACAGACACTTGCAATGAGTGCCGTGTTGAATGCCACAACCTAGTGGCACATGCTGATGGACCTGTTGTTTCTCTCTCGTCTATCTCTCATTGCCCCCCATAGCTTTCAGCTTTCATTATAACCCATCACAGTGCTTTCATTTTTTCCTGTTTGGTTTTTGGGTTCTTTTTTATTTGTCTACTTTTTCTTTCAAACCAATCTGGTTCTTTTAAGCTACCGCATTTAGAATCTGGTACGTGAAATCCAGTTTTACAACACTAGTTATTTTGCAACCTCTACTAACTTGTTTTCCCAGTTAACCACTGGCACCTTTATGCACAATAGGATAATTTTCAGGATCCCGATCTCTTTGTACATATTTATTGCTATCAAATGACGGCATTTGCCCAACTCACTTGACTGCATGCTGCTGCATTTACTGTTTTCTGGATGCATTTAAATACTTTTGAATTCACAAAAATTCTTCCTCAACATTTTTATTCATCCTTTATTTGAGATTCCGATAAATTAGATGGCAAAACCCCGGTATGTAACACTGTGACATCCACGAGTATGGGTTTTCAACACAAATGGTAGGTGACCATTCATATTGCTTTTGAATACGATTGCGTCATTGGAAGTCATTGTATGGTCTGGTCTGGAATGAAATGAGTACTTTACAACGACAAACCGACACCAGATTTCGCTTGTTCAAAAAAAAAAACTACCGGGTAGTCACTTTGGTGAAGTCTAGGAACGCTTCTTCCACGTCAGTTTTAACTAGTGATCTTGTGTTGCTCACCGATTTGGTCTTCGAAAGCCTAGGGAGGCGAAGGAGATTATGCTTACTGTTCGACGTTCAATGAATCAGGTTTGCAAAATTACGGTGGACTATGCTTGGCTAATTTTTGTATCACTGTCTTTTTACAATTGACGTGAACATATTTGGTCATTCGTGTTTCGCTACTGCGCTGCCGATCCGACTGTTTGCTCAGAAAGCACAACAACATCCAATAAAACTGGTTTTATACAAACATATCAAGGTGCTTTCAGACGCTTCGAACATGAGCTGACAGCCTTGAATGTGCAACCAAACCCTACGTGTCGATCTGATCTGACTACGGTTCCTCTGGGTGAGCGAGATGCGTTAGGATAAATTCAGCCGCGATAATTTAGATTACTGGGATGGTGAGGCACTGGCCATTCCCGTTTCTTGGTGTTTTCGGACGTCCTTTGGGACACAAGAATTAGGTATGTAACTTGGGTCGCCTGGTTTCGATCGTGACTTAATCTCGAATAGTCGGATTATACATTCCTAATCTCAAATTTGGGTGTGAAGCGAATTCCAAGCCATCTCCCAACTAAGCGATTTAGCCAAAGTGGTTGAATGCGAAAGAAGCCACGGATCCTAATGGATGACCTTACAGACAACATTGCTTTTGATCCACAGCGAATGGACATGTCACGAGGTAATGCGTCAAATGTACGCACGTACTTTATATTGTGCAGCATAAGAGACCGCTTGGTAGATTCAGTGGGCGACGCGCGTTTCGAGGGGGGAGCCCTTTCAGAGACTCAATTGGGCGCGTCAACAAGACGCGGATTAAATATTCTGGCAACTTGTATTGGCATTTAATTTATTGTTTCCCTACTTTTGTGAAGAAATGATAACCAAACATAAAAGGTTGATTCGGTTAACGACTTAAAGCCCCTGGAATTTGACTGATCACAGGAAGATTTACAACAAGTAGGCTGCTAGCGAACATGCATTTTGAGTGAGGGCTCTGATACCTTGACTTTGGCTGAACAATACTGGCCGTTATTCTTTATTTGAGCACTGAATTCCCTTTTTCGTCCAATACTAGCAATTGCAACCAAATATATCCCTTCCAGACCCTAGTTCCATATGCGTACCAACTCTCCACTGACTCTAGCAGACTTTCACTTGAGTTTCCCAGACCACTGATTGTCACTCAAGACCATTCCATCTTACTGTGCCTTTCTCATTCACACGCCACGTGAAAAATCCCTGCTGCCTCCTATGCAAAAAACGATAAAACTGTTCACGGGAACCCCCCATCATACATCGCTTACACTGTTTTTAGTCTTATCATTTGGACTAATTAGCCCGGAAGGTTTGATGTGATGGAACTCACCCATCAGGATTTCTGTCAAACTGATCGAGGTCCCTTTCCAGTTCGTTCAGTGTGACAGTCAAACGGTTCCCTGTGGAGTATTTCAGAACAGTGTAAGTTACTCACAGTCTACAGCTTGCACTGTTTTTTGCTTATGGAAGGCCGCCTCTCACCCAGATCTATGGACGATGGAAACGAACTGAAGCATGTTGGTTTTCAGTCCCCTTAATGGTAAGTCGCTTTAAAGCATAAAACCCACTTAGGTGAGAAACGCCTCAGCAAACTCCCCTCCCCAAATGAATATTAATATTGGCATACTTCCCCATTAATGTTCCGCTGACCTCTGAAAACTCGTGGATCGAAGTGTTCCCGTGGTTTTCGCTCACAAACATTGAGTATGCGAAACGTATTGCTCCAGTTCATTCAGACCCTTAAAACGTGAGTGTTTTTAAATAGCCTAAACATTTTTTCCGCACGATGTGGTATGCTGCAATGTGTGAAGTGATGTCACAAGGCTGGGTGGAATTAAAGCAAAACCTCATGCTCGCAGATGAGCCTGTCAATGTAGTAGGCAGTTTTGTTTACCTGGGCAGTTGTATGAGCTCGTTGCTCAGTCCGGCGAAGAGATTGCTTTTTGAGTTGGAGAGGCCATGGCAATTCTTACAATATTTTTAACACCTATGGTTCCAACGTGACGCTGGTTTCTGTCATGGTCGGAATTTACACTGCGGCGGTGCGATCCCTGCTGCTTTATGGCCTCTACGCGCATAACAAATACGGAATATATCACTTTTCGATCGTTGGTCTCCGAAACATTGGACGGGGCTGGTGAGAACATCAGGATAACAATGTTGAGGTGCGCCAAATGGTCCTAGGAAGGACGAACTCTCCTGCCACAGATGAATCACTCAGGCTTCGTAGGATGTGTACTACGAATACCAGAAGACGGTCTGCCTCGCAGGGCTCTTTTCGCCCTGACCTGTGCTAAGTGGAAGCGACCAGTTGGTAGACAGTGTATGATCTGGCAATGAAGTATGAAAACACTAGCTAGTAAACTGAGTCGGGTCGACAACTGCCGTCTCCCTAGATGGACATTCCGGGATTCTACTCATTAATAGTTACTGACACCGATAGACATGGGCGAATCACGCAGTCAGTAGTGCTCGTGCATCAGAACTATCGCCTTCAACCAGTGGCTGCCCAGCTTCGCCAACTAATGATCATGCCATCACCCCGAATGCTTGGCTGTGTCTCACGCTCACGTCTTCCGTTGATCAAAAGTGGAGGAGTTGAAATAACGTGATTTTGGTACATGGTTTACAGTTGGTAAAATGAACTCACTCGTGCAACTAATGATATCTCTACGCAAAAGCCTCTAACATGATTGCGTAGCTGCATTCCGCTGCATAGATGTTACACAACCCTCAGAAGAGCTGTCGGCTGCTCTCACCTTGGAAGGTATATCTCCAAGATTTTCTTTTAAATGTGTTGAACTTCACCATAATGATGAATGCTGATGAATGCTCATAGCCTTTTGAAAAAACCTAATGAGCCAATATTTGTGATTGGATAAATTATGTGATTTAGGTGTCTCTAGAACGTAGCTAGAACCATTTACTTCATTCGTCTCTCGGAACCCGTGAATATAATTCCTATAGTGCCCAATACACGACCGTTAATACATGCTGTTGTATGCAAAACTGGACTGGAACATGGTAAAAGCCGCTCATTAATATGGCTCCGATAAGTTAACAGGAACGGGATCATAAAAATACCCTTGGAGTTCTGCCACTCTATCAGGATCCTGGCAGAAGGTGAGCTTCATGGATAAAACTGCCAAGCGAAATCGCTGAAATGCCTCATTAATTCTGAGTAGGCGCACTGAAAATATGTTCAACAAACTGAGGAACTTGTCCATGTTTTTCAAGGAAAATTCCACCGCATGGCTGTTCTTTCATCAAATAGGTTGAAAAAAATATGTAGCACTAAAACTGTCAGGCGATGTTCAGACATATCCTCTCCAGAGACGGAACAACCAGCCACTTGAAACTTCTCTTCGCGTGGAATCCACGAGATTGTCTACTACAGTACTAATGCAGTCCCTCTCGAGAGCAGTACCAGTGAAGCTACAAAGTAGTGCTCACAACCGTGAAAATTCTATCGGGTAATTTGCACCTAAACTTTGGGGGAAAATGTTAGATGGATTAGGTGGACTTCACGTCAGGAGCAGTCTAAGGTGCATTTTATGTGCTGACGCTCCGTCTAGTCTTGCAAAGGAACGATCAACAACTGTGCGATAGACGGGTTCAAAGAAGCCTTTTGTCACCACAAACAACTGTGATATACTAGCCAGAAAACAGCTGTCAACGAGACGGTAAGTGAAACAAGCGTCTGTGCAATTCCTTTGCATAAAAGCTCTTCGGAAAGATGGGTCGAATATTTCGAAGAACAGTAACGGTGGCCTCCTGCAGCGCAGCCCCTAAAGACATGCATACGAGTGGGTAGAATTTACATCTTTTCAGCCCATCAAAAGAAGAGATGGCATGGTACAATTGAAACGTAAGGAGGCCTAAGGATCGGACATTCCCCACCCCACTCAGGGGAGGAGAAACCTCGTTTAGCCATTTGGCAAAACTCCGCCTCAGGATTCGGCATGACCTTCACACCTGCAATTTGTATAGTGCTGTTGAAAGACTGGGTTGGCTCTTACCCCAGCCTCATTTTTGTTAATTCGCCGATTGAGGTGGTAGACAACTTTCCCTCCCTGTGCAGCTGCATCATCTTTGCGAAGGAAGATACTTCCATCCAGATTTGCAAGGCTCGACAGATTTTGTGAACCTTCATCGCCTGCGGTGCAGGTACGATGTCAACTTATCCAGCACGCTTCAATTTTTCACAGCTCTGCAATCTAAAAAACTTGTGTTTGATCATTGGTGTCTGGGTCAGGTGGAAACAACAGACCAATAATTCTGAAGTGCCTGGAGAGGTTTTTGGAAAAAAATAAGCCGCTTAGTATATATGAACCGTTCACACTTCATTGGTTGCGCCGGCTTGGCTCCATAAGCCGTTCTAAAGCTTTCTCGGAGAATCCATTTCTCATAACCGCGTAGCGGATGAAAGCGAGACAGCGGTGGTCACGCACTGGCTTGACAGCAAAGTACGAAAACCATTACAGCAAACTCAGCTTCACTTTTCATGGCCATCTTCTTAGTTGAGGACCACAAGTCGGGCATATCGATGACCCGGTTGTGCGTTTAACAGTGCAAATGCATCCAAGATATTGCATTCAACACACAGCTTTCCTTTCCAATCTCGATGGGGATTTTGCTTACCATCTTGTGTTCAAGCATCAATGCCGGCCTCAATGTCTGGTTATCCTCTCTTATCTTCCTAGGTCATCGCCGAACGAAACTGGGGC